GCGTGCCGCGTAGAGCGCAAGTGGCGTGGTGATGGGGTCGGGGTCGGGATAATATGGTGCATAGATGGGACGGGTGGGCTATGACGTCGCGGAGAGAGTTCCTGGCAGCACGGGACGGTGAAGCGGCAGCAACAGCAGCACCACGGAGAGGGCGACGGGGCGGATCAGCTGGGGCTGAGGCTGGTGCTGTAGCCACAAAGCGAGTGGGCGCGGGGAGTCAGAGGGAAGCAGCGGAGAGGTGGTTGGTGAGAAAGAATTGGGTCGTGTCGTGGGTGGGCGTGAGGCCGGGATCAGGAGCAGGAAGAGCCTTGGTCGCAGCTTCTTCTAGACGGCTTCTGGAGCCAGGCCAGGCCTGCACCGAGTGACGGCAGACAGGACGGCAAGCGTGCGGGCAGGTAAGTAGTGCGGAAATGGGCTGGGCAGGCAGGCGGTTGATGGCGTGCAAAAGCGTGCGGGCGCCGAAAAGCGTCCTCCTACGGGCTCATTGCAGCATCCCGCGCGAGCGAAATTGACTGTTGGCGGACGGGCGTGCTCTGCCCATGGTTGTGCTTGGCGGCGACGTCATTCAGGGACTCGCGTAGATGCCTAAGTAAGCCGAGAGGTTGTCGCAGTAAGGAGTGTACGCCCACCCTATTCACTAACACGCACTGCTTACAGCCAGCTCAACTCCATCCCCATCCCCTGCTGCCGCCCAACCGTGGCCACGATGCCCATGCCAGCCGTTGTCTCTGCTCATTGAGCTGTGGCTGTGGCTGTGGCTGCGTCTGCAGTCACGTTCTCGTTGTGCTCCACCGCTTTCGTTTTTTTGCAACCTTGTCTGCCCGCAACGGCTGCATCTGTCCTGGCTGGAGCCGAAATGGTATGCCCCGCGCGTGTGATTGGCCAGCTCGCCATGTTCCATTTTGCCATGCCCCCCATATCGGGCTTAGCGCCCTCCCTTCGTCCATCGCAATCGCAACCTCGATGCTGCTGGCTCACACCGGCCATTGACTAGCCCACTGCTAGACGATTCACCAGAGCCTCACTGGCGACGCCCTCCGCCCGTATGTGATTGACGTGTCGACTGCGCTATCCCGCTACCAGACGCCCATGGCACCATTAGTGGTGCCATACTGCTGGCGACTGTAGCCCCCCCCTGGTCCCGCATCTGCAAGCTTTGCTCCAACCTGCAACCACCTTGTGCGGCTTGCGCGCTTGTGCGTCCAATTCCTGCTGCATCCGTGGCAAGCATGCCTTGTACGCTCGCCTCGCATCTGCTGCTTATTGCAATTGCGGCTGTGCGCATGCTGGAGCGCCCACGCGAAATCAAAACCCGCTCGATCCCTCACCCATTCTCTAGTCGTCAGGAGTGGATACCCCCCTCACGTGCCTTGTCCACTTGCACCAAGCAACCCCCACCTGTCGTCCTCTCTCCCCGACAAAGTTTCGGTACGTGCAATCTGCCAGACGCCTCACATGCGCAACACGAATATGTTCTGCATACATGTCATACGATATTTGCGACTCGCCATGTCTAGTCTGAAATCCCGGGAACACGATCCGCGCCAATTGCGGGTACCTTGCATTGCCCACCACGGACATACACGGGATCTACACACAACCGATCACATACGCGCCACAGCCGAAACTCAATCACTGCAACTTGTCTCTTTACTACCACTGCACCATCATATCCAATGTTTTAAACCCAGCGTCATGCACTCCTCGCGTTATTTTGTACCGGTGCGTCGTCAATAACAGGGCTGCGCAATCATACTGCGAATATCTCGTGCTATCCCTGTTCCCTGTCATGACATAGGCAGCACAGCGGCCCAAGCCGGCCCTGATTCAGTGACAGATCGCGATGCACTGGTTGCTGTATTCGAGCAAAACTACTGGCCAATCACATCAATCCGAACATGAACGTTATTCCTCACACATGGCTGCCACGATCCACCTTAACCGTCGTCCGAGTCAGCCCCACTCGACTTACCTCCAGATCCTAGCTTCGCCTTGTGCGCTGTCTGTGCAAACATGCAGCATCATGCCTGAAGATATGTCTTATCTATAGACGCACGTATCTATGTCCAGTCCTTGGCATACGGCGTCCCACTGACTGTGGGGAGAAGCCACAAATCTGTTTTTCACATTATAGCCACATCCCCAGTTTGATCTTGTTTGCATGAACAGCCACACAGCTAAATAAATTTCATGACTATTTTGGGGCAGTGGTGAAACATACGAAACTCTCTTGTGTGTGTGCGACTTGAGAGCACATGAAAACTACTGGAACGTCGCAGGGTCATGTATACTCTTTGACGCCATTGACCAATGTCTCTCACTAGCTTTTCATGCTTGTACAGTTACATTATCTGGTCTATTGTAAACAATTTTTATAGCTCATGGGTCCTGTCTTCTTTTCTCTTTGCAGCTATGCTTAGTTGAAAACTACACGTGTGGCTCGCCATATCTCCATGGTAACATTTCTGCGTATGGAACCCTGCATAGGTATGCAGTTAGTCTTGCATATGTCATAAGCACGTAGATGCTAAAGACACCACCCCTTTACAGTTAATGATAAAGGCGCGTGAAACCACAGCAAAAGGCGTCCCTCATCGGCGTTGCGACACAAGGAAAACATCTCCGTGACTTCCCTGGCTCAGCCACTGTCGTCCAATCAGCTTTCAACACCCAAACCCTCTTCTCCGCATTCCGGTCCCTCGGTTTTCCTCCACATTCCGCGCCCGGCCCAATTCCGCCATGCCGCTCACATGCCGATGGAACCCATACTAAACCATTGCCCGAGGATGCTGCCATACTGAACCACATATCTCCAGGAATTCTGCGTTCCTTTTCCACAACAACTCGAGGGGGCACCTCTGGCAAAAAAAAATTGCTTCTTGGACAGTAGCTTTTCTTCGGTGTTCGCACACGCAGTCGAACAAGATGCCTTCAATATCCCACACTCTCCGCACTGCGCGCACCTTTTCGCGAAGTACAACAAAGGTTATTATCACCTGCCCATCAATTGGCTGTGCACGTATTCCAGGGCAGCGATTGACTCTAATAGACATATCTCAACCTCTCGCGCTCCTTTTCTTCGTCTCTCCGCCGCAATGAGATCAACAAAGTCTATCCTAGCGCTGCAGCCGCCATCGAGGACATGCAGCCCAACAGCACACTGCTCTGTGGTGGATTCGGTCTCTCTGGTGTGCCAGACACACTGATTGAGCAAGTCAAGAACACGCCTAGAATCACCGGACTGACTGCCGTCTCCAACAACGCCGGTGTCGTTGGCGGTGGTCTCGGCCTGCTCCTCGAAAGCAAGCAAGTCAAGAAGATGATTGCCAGTTACGTAGGCGAGAACAAGGTCCTCGAGCAAATGTACCTCACCGGCGAACTCGAGCTAGAACTCACACCGCAAGGCACTCTGGCCGAAAGATGTCGAGCAGGCGGCGCCGGCATCCCAGCCTTCTACACGCCCGCCGCCTTTGGCACCGTCGTCCAAACCGGTGAACTCGCTCTGCGTCACAACAACGACGGCAGCGTAGCCCAGTACTCGACTCCCCGCGATGTCAAAGTCTTCTCGGGCAAGTCGTACGTCATGGAAGAAAGCATAAAAGGCGACTACGCCTTCATCAAAGCCTACAAAGCCGACCGCCTGGGCAACGTCCAATTCCGCTTCTCCGCCCAAAACTTCAACGGCGCAATGGCCCGCAACGCCACCACCACAATCGTCGAAGCCGAACACATTGTCGAAGTCGGCGAAATCGCCCCAAACGCCGTCCACGTCCCCGGCATCTACATCGACCGCGTCATCCAATCGACAGCAGAAAAGAAAATCGAAAAAGTAGTAAACGCCAAAGACCCATCCGAGGCAGTAGCCAGTCTGGGTAAACGCGACCGCATCGTCCGCCGCGCAGCCAAAGAATTCAAAAACGGAATGTACGCCAACCTCGGCATCGGCATGCCCATGCTCGCCCCTTCCTTTGTCGACGCCAGCGTAGAAGTTCAACTCCAGTCTGAAAACGGCATCCTAGGCCTAGGACCTTACCCGCAAAAGGGCCAAGAAGACCCCGACCTCATCAATGCTGGCAAGGAAACCGTTACCCTGGCCCCCGGCGCTTCATGTTTCGGCTCAGAAGAATCCTTCGGAATGATTCGTGCGGGCAAGATTGATCTTACAATCTTGGGAGCCATGCAAGTTTCGGCGAGAGGAGACCTCGCGAATTGGATGTTGCCCGGCAAAGTTAAAGGGTTTGGAGGCGCCATGGATTTAGTGTCGAATCCCGAGAAGACAAAGGTGGTGGTTACGATGGAGCATACGGATAAGAAGGGTCGCCCCAAGATTTTGAAGCAGTGTGAATTTCCGCTCACGGGTAAGGCGTGTGTTAGTAGGATTATTACCGAGTTGGTGAGTTTTTTTTAGTTATTTTTTGGCTGCTTTCCCCCCCCTTGTTATCCCTTCTTCTTCTTTGCTTTGTAGATATGTGGCATGGTTACTGACGATGCAAACAGTGCGTATTCGACGTCGATTTCACAGAAGGCCTTACCCTAGTTGAACTCGCAGATGGCGTTACCGTCGATGAGATTCGACAAAAGACTGGTGCCGAGTTTAAGGAGGCGGCGGAGATTAAACCAATGTTGTAGTTTTTTTCTCTCCCATCTATATCCTAACCCCCCCCCCCCCCAAAAAAAAAGATGCAAGTGAAGAAACGAAGAAAAAAAAAGACTAGTAATGAACAAATTCTATCAAAAATAAAAAGATATTTATACCAGGTGATTTTTATATACTTTCCCCCACCCCCCAACCTTTTATACACCTTACCATCCCTCTATCCACAGAAAGAACAAACAAAAAAAAGACTACAACAAACGAAGAATGAAACTGATTGATGAAAACTCCCACTCTTTTACCTACGAAAAAAAAAATACGAAATACCGAGAGTTCCACTTCCCACACCCCTATACAGCGTCGTCTCCTGAAACTAGACAAACACATCAAACACCCACTAATACCCTCAATCCGTCCTCGTCTTGGCACTACCACTGGCCCCATGAATCTCCGGATCATACTCCTCACCCCTCACCCTCGCAGCCCTAACCCGTGCCTCCTTAGCCTCCTCATCAGCACTCTCCACCTCATCAATGCCGACCTCCCTCCTACGCTGCCTCTCCCAATCCTCACCTTCCTCTTCGCTATCGCTCTCTTCCTCCTCACGCACAACGCCATACCGCGCATCCTCGCCGGCAGACGCTTCGGGATCCTTGATGAAATTATCGATGATCCAGTACTGCAGGGCGTTCATGATGAGGGGGAAGACGAACATGACAAAGGCGATTTGCAGGGCTGTGTTGCCTTCGGTCCAGCGGAGGGCCCAGTCGCCGATCCACGCAATCCAGGGGAGGAGGGCGAAGAGGACGAGGACGCAGAGTTTCATGCCAATGAGGCCTAGGAAGTAGATGATGGATTGTTTGAGCCACCAGGTGGCGCGCGGCGGGTGGCCGTAGTTTCCTGAGCGGATGGATTCCGGGGGGTTGGCGAGCGGGGTCATGGAGAAGGCGCGGTGGAGGAGGCGGAGGAGAAGGACGAGGATGGGGATGCCGATTGTAGTCTTGGATTGGTTAGTCTGTGATGAAGGGAAGAGATGGGAGGGAACTTACGTCAATGGCGAGGTTCAAGAGATAGAAGGAACATGGGTTTGGCTGGTCACCCTCGCTGTCTTTGCTGACTAGATGCGTAGTAGTGGCTGGTGAGACGGTGGCTACGTCGAATTTGCCAGAGGAAAGCATGGACATGAGAATGTTTGCGAGATGAAGGAGTACTGAGCCAAAAACCTGCTTGGAAACATCGAAGAACCAAATCTTAAGCGGTCGGCGAGGATGTTCGCGCATTCGCTTGACGGCGAGCGACGAGACAGCAAGAAGTCCTAGAGCTGCTTGTACCAGCAAGGCAAAGTCTCCAAGGAGATTGCACTCGCCATTTCCAGATTCGCCGTCCATGGGGTTGCCTTGTGCAGCAGCCTGTTTTTCAGGTTCTCCCGTCGCCAGAGGCTTCGTGTCTGGCGCAGCAGACGTGGGCTTGTGTACGTTCTCGGGCGCAGCTTCTTCGTTGTTCGCGTTCGCGTCGTCGTCTGTAACCGCAGCACTGGTGGTCGCTGGTGCAGGATCGGTGGGCTTAGCAGGTTGCTCTGTCTTCACAGGTTCTGCCTCGACGCCATCGATGCCCATAAGCTCGGTCTCGAACACTGTGATCACACCTTGGTTAGCTCATCGTTCTAGCGAATGAGGCCAAAAAGAAATATCTCAGCCACACAAAACGTACCGAGTGTCGATCCGGCTGGAATGACATCGATGGCATGGTTCCCATATGCCAGCTCCGGCGGTATCGTCAACTTCCTGCCCTCTCCAATACACATATCCAGCAGCCCCTGATCCCAGCCCTTGATCACCTGGCCCCTTCCAATAGTAAACCTAAACGGTCTCCCAGAATCATAGCTCGAGTCGAACTTGGTGCCGTCGACCAGCGTGCCCTTGTACATCATGGAAACCTTGTCTCCATTTTTTGTTTTGCGCGTGCATTCCACTGGTCGTGTGACTTCGATTTGGAGATCTGCCGCCAGTGCGAGCGAGGGCAGCAGCGCCAGTGGGAGCGCGAGAAGCGCACCGAGGGGCCGCATGACAGCGGCGGGAGAGAGAGAGGAAGGTAGGGGGGGGGGAGAAAGGGTGGGTGCCCGCGCAGTTCGCAAAGTTACAAGGCGGTCGCTGATGTTTTCCCGTGACAAGAAAAAAGCCACCCCAAAGCCGCAAGTTATTCGTCGGCGGCAAAGACAAGGTATGGGTAAGCAGAGACGTTTGTGCACTCTAAGCCACGGTTCAATGCTGATTAAGGTCGGTCCTTTGGGTGAACGTGTCAAGGGTGAAACGCCGTCCGTATGGCGCGCTGCCAATTTGGATGCAGCAGCTGCAATAGCAACAAGAGATAAGGAATCGTGCAACAGGAGGGGGAGGTGACTGGCGCTCAACACCAGACTTGGTTGTGGTGGGTGTGCTGGCTCCTGACGTGCATGACACCTCGTGAGGTGTAGGTCATGTTAGGGTCCAATGGGCAAGGGTGCGCCTAGAGCCCGTGGCGGCTCAAGTGGCGATCATTACGATGGTGTGCATGCCGGACTGATTGGCTGCTAGAGCAAGGGCCCAATGAGTACACATGGAGGCACGACATGGGGCACTAGGGATCTATCGGAATGGGATTTGCATTTTTAGCTAGTATGTAGATTGGTTATGAAATACCGCCGAGGTATTTACATATACAGCACTCACGTGCACAACATGCGAAGACGATATGCTGATGATACAAAGCGAATGTCGTCGCCTCCTCCCAACCCACCAAATTACTTGCAAAACGCCACTGATGCTACAAAGAAAAAATGACGCAGACGCAGGTCAAAAGGGACAAATTAGGAAATCCCCTCAGCATGATGCTGAAGGGCTTGGCAGTGTTTGCTAAATGCATGCCTACTACTCGTGGTCCTCTGGCCGCTTCAATGGACTTGTCCTTGCTGGACTGTCCACTAACGCGGCCCCATTCACACCAGGCGCAAGCTGAAGACTGGTGCGCACTATGCTTTGCCCTGGCCGTACCACCACGCTGCCTCTTCTGTCACGTTCCATAGGGTCCACTGTATTCACGGCCGCATACTCGCTCTGGTTCTGCAGATGGGCATTCATAAGCGCCTCCTCCCTCATCTTCTTAAACTTCATGTAGTTGTATGCGGCGATGCTGCCAATAGTAACGACAAGCCCAGTCAGGTTGATGGGCGTAAGCGGGTCCTTGAAAACGAGATTTGCGGTTCCGATGGTAACCACCTCCTTGAAAATGCCACAAATGCTAAGGGTGACGACCGAAGTCCGCTTCAGCAGAGCAAACTCGGATGAGGTCATGAGAAAGGCCAGAACTCCCGGGAATAAAAGAATGCCAATGCCGAGAGCAGTGCCCTTTGTTTCGAATAGGTGTGAAAGGCCCTCCAAAAGCGCGGGGAAGCCTTCCACGGGTATCGCGAGAATGAATATGCTGAGGAACATGACAGGCGCAAGGAAGAAGATGGAGGAAAATGGGTTCGCCGTGGCGGGGTTGCGCAAGAGCAGAATCTGGGTCAGGGACCAGCGGAAGCCGGACGAGCACGCTGATACCATGACGAGAATAAAGCCGAGTGTGTGAAAGGCAGCTTCACCAGCTACCATCATCACGACACCGGCAGTCATGATGAGAATGATGAAGACCAGTCTCCATGACGGTTGTTCGAGACGGAAGAGGAATGCGAAGACGAGTACAAAGCCTAGTGCAGATGACTTGCACATTGCTGTTCGTGTTAGCCGTCTTTTTTTCCCTAAACAGTGGCATGCGAGCACTTACTGAAAAAGGTTAATGAGATGAACTTCAAGCTCGTGTTACCCAAGCCAATGTCCATGCCAGTGGCTGCACCACAGGGTCCAAGCCTACTAAAGTAGAACCACTTGGTCATGAGCGGCTTCTTTGGGTCGAGCGGCTCGGCACGCCCTCTGGCGCCATGCGGGTTAAGGGAGTCATGCCTTGGTCGAAAGGAAGGTATGAGAAACAAGACGAGCGATGCGAGGGTAAACTGCACAATCATGTGCAGACATGTGGTGAACAAAGGAAATGGGAAAATGTTCTTGGTCTCGCCGTCATCCTTGGCCTCCTTGAACATCCACTTGTTGTAGACGGAAATGGATATGGAGAAGAAGTACCTGGGTCAGGGTCAGTTTGACAGCCAGTCTTGTGGATCTGCTGCAGTCGCGTGCTTACCATAGACTAATGAGGACGCCATTGATGAGCATGGATTTTAGGAGGTTCTGGTCGGCAATCTTCTTTTCCTCCTTAGTGTACGTGTCGTCAGGAGCAATACGCTGGTCGAGCAAGGTGTTCCTCCTCTTTCTTCTCCGGCGCCTGCGCCTGTCTCTCTTGGTGAGGCCCGTCTCCTCGTCGTCCTCGAGTCCATCTGCGCTCATGTCGTCGCTGTCGTGTTCGTCGCTGTCACTCGGGGAGTCTGAATCTGAGCGGTCTGCGCCCGACGACTCTGGGCCTTCTTCGGCAATGTGGTCTGAAGGGCGGCGGCGGTGCTTCTTGGAGTCTGTTCTGGTGGGTAGGGTGGCGCCGGCGAGGGAGGAGGAGCGTCGTCGAGCAGAGACGTGGTCATCCGTCATGGTAGGGACCGGTGGGTGGATAAACGTGGCGATTTGGGTGCGTTGGGGGACCCTGGGGCCTTCATCCGAATCGATGTCGGAGAGGGAGCTGTTGGAAGGAAGAGAGGGCAGGGTCCTCAGCGGGAACTCGTTCCCCGGACTAAGCAGCGGGCCTTGTGGTGCAACCGAGTCTTGTAGCTGCAGCCAGCGAGTGATGCGGGTCTGCTCTGAAGTCATGCTGCGAGGCGGCGCTGTGCTGATTCGCCTTAGCCCTTCACCGCCAAGGACAGGAGAGGCTCTAGTTTCCAGCTCGGGGGCCACGGGCTAGCATCAGGGGCTGGTGCGGGGCGGTGCGTCAAGGAGATGCTTCAGAGCAACAGAAACAATGCAGGTACGCGAGTTGGATATACCACGCAAGTACACATTTATCCGTCCACGCGTACCGTTGTGTACGATATTCGGCCGTCTGCTACAAGTACCACCGCCTCCCTGTTGGTGCAGCGCCGCAAATTGCTGCCCACAGACACCGGCCCAGGCGTGGTGCGGCAGAATGACGGCCAATCATCACCACGTGTCATCCTACACCCGATGACTGCATTGGCGGGGAAGCACGCGGGAGACGATCAACTGCGTCATGTGACGATATCTGCCGTCTGCATGGAGCCTAGATTTCTACACTTCGCTGCGGATCCGACCTGGGCGCCGGGCTACTGCACGCGACCATTTCTCACGCGTAATACATGTCGGCCCCAAAAAAGACCTGCCCCTGCCACTATAGTTTTGAACAGAGACATAAAAAACTTGTTTGAAACAAGCGCGTCTCCATCTAAAGCATTACAGTCGTCAGTTTCCCGTCCAAAAATAAACAACATGTAGTAAGCAACACACGACATACACACACACAAGTGCTGAGCAAGCATGTCTTAATGTTTCCATTTTTTTTTCTTCAAATATTCCGTCTTGCATGCATGGCAGTGCCTACAGGCCAAGCGTGCACCAATCATGCTGTGCATACCATGAAATACATGCCCAAAGGATATCCAAACTCAAACGCCATCGTATGCAAAACATAACAACAAGTAAACATTAGTGTCCGCTGCACTCCCATGACTATATGGCTGCAGGTGGCACAACGGGCGCTGGCGGCAGCTGCTCAATCTGACGGATCAAGAAGCTCTTCTCGTCGATAAACTGCTCGTCTTCTGTTCGGTCTTCCAGGAAGGAAGGAAGGAAGCGCAGCAGCTTGTCCCGGTTGCTAATCAAGATGCGCTGCACTGCGACTGACTTGTTGGGATTGGCAACAAAAACCTATCATTGTAAGCGTTGGATCCACGCAGCTACAACCCTGACACTGCTCACCTTGAAGACATGGAAACCCTCGTAGTTGATCATTTTCCTGTCGTCTCGCAATAGCTTCATGATGATCTTGAGATGCTCGCCAGAGTCGACGTATTGTGTCATGACATTGTAATTGGCCCGGTCCAGTAGAATCTCGCCCAGCAGCTTGATGGACTGACGCTTCGTCACATAGCTCTCCGACTGAACCAACATCGTGTTGTACTTTGAGAAAAAAGCATCAAAATTGGTCTGCAGGAACGTCGCTACCAATGGCTTGTGTTTGGTCAGGATTTCCTGTCAATGTGTCAGTCACTTGTCCAAGGGTTCTCATACCAGCTAGTCTTACCCTGAACGTATTGAATGCGTCTGCGCTGACTTCAAATGCACCCTTGTCTATCCATCCAAAAAACTTCCAGAACACGCCGTTGCCAGATGATGGTAGATCGGGGTTGACACTGCCCAGATCAAGCGTCTTTCCGTCCTCCATTGGCTCGTCGTAGAGAAGTAGCGCAGCAATTGCGTCATATTTGAGTGCCTCGCGCAGAATTCCGCCACATGGCATGGCGCTCTCTCGCCTGTCGTAGCCCCGGCATAGCGCTATTATGATATCCGGCCTGTATGCGACAACATGCTCCAAGACTTGCGGGGTTGGCTGACCGGCGGGCTTGTAGCGGAATGCGGTCGAGAAGATGACTTGTGCGTCCTTTCGCGATTCGAAAGGGAGCTTGTGAATGTTGATAGCCAGGGCGTAGAGCAGGTCTTCGTTGAGTATGTTTGTGAGGAGCTGGAAGACGGCCTCTGGGTTGACTTCGGTATCTGTTCCATGTGTCAGCGCTGTATAGACTGTGCACATTGCACAACCACAGAAAGGCGAACCATACCAGGCGTGCCCTGAAGCCGAACTTTCATCTGCTGCAGGTCGAGCGCAAGTCCCTCCTCCAGCTGTCACGTGTTAGCCATGTTTTGCAGGCACCTCGACGCCGCCACATGGTCGCACCTTGGGATTGGGCTTGTCCTCCTGCCCAAGCCGCAGTGTGAGCTCCTTGATTGACCTTGTCAACTCAAGGTTGTTCTTCTGTTTGTTCCGGAAGAGGAAAGCCATGTTGAGTGGTCTGCCAGGCTTGCCAGGGCGAGGGTCGATGTGGGATAGCGGCGACGACGTGTGGGGTTGCAACTTGGGGCCAGGGCCGAGAAGGTTCTATCTTGACGGCGACGACATACAGGCGGGAGCGGGTGAAGTTTGTCCTGACACAGCGGGGGGTTTGATGTAAGCAGGGGACGCCAGCACGTTTTGTTGTTCTGCCAGTGTTTTGCTGTACTGACGCTGTTGGCGGTTGCTTGTGAATGGTCCGAGGGTCAGCCCTGCAGTCAGTGCTAGCGCCCGCCTGCCGGGCTTTCTTCCACGTCCGTACTTCCACTCGCCCACCCATTTCGCTGCCCTTTAATCGAACCCAGCATAATACGGCGCGCGGCTGCAGAGGGGCACTGATTGCATCGCCTGAAACTTTTGACTATTTCTATGTAATGACGTATGACCTCGTCTTAGCACCGAAGCTGCGGTAAATGCCTCGCACGCGCGGAATTCCCCCGCACAACTCCCACCCATTATATCATGTGTATGCCTTGTGCACCTCACAGAGGCGCTTTCACTGCGCAAAATATGCATGCTCGAGAACCTGGGTCCAGAATTAGCTTTGATCGCATGACTGATCTACCAGACGTACCTTTGATGCGCCCATCCTTGTGCCACTCTCGTACCTGACCAGGCTGCCTACCAGATCGCGTTCTGCTTCAGATAGGTCAGGTAACAACTGAGACCACTCTTGTGCTGGATATTCGTAGAATTGCACCTTGCCCCAGTCACGGAAATCTGCTGCTTCCTGTTGGAGTCAGCAAAGTCTTCACAGTCGCAATCATGTGTGGACTAACCGGCCAAACATCCAAGTTTGGTGTTCCCAGCTTCTTAAACACACTTTGGATCAATGCCAAGTCACTTCCCAGCTCTCCGGAATCGAACAGAGTCTCGTGGCCAGGAGTGAGTGCTTCCGCCACCGTGCAGCCAGCAGCCCATAGGTCCAGACTGCAATTGTACTTTTGATTACCGAACAAAAGTTCTGGGGGTCGGTAGCAGGTGGTGCCAACGTCAGTGATCTTCGAGTCTGCCGGCTCTGAGCCCGGCACTGCAGGCGCCCAGGCAATGCCAAAATCAGACAGATATGCAGGGCCGTCCAGAGACTTGAGAAGAATGTTAGAAGGTTTGACGTCGCGATGAATAATGCCTTTGCTGTGAATGAAGGCTAGACCAGTAAAGAGGTCCTTGAGGCATGACTTGATTTGACTTTTTGACAGCTTCTTGTCACATAGCAGATCACTAAAGTCGTAGCGCATGAATGGAAAGACTAGCACAAACTGACTTCCGTTCTCACGGAAAGTGTCCAGTAGCGGGATGATGCGGTCTGAGGCTGCAAGGCTGAGGATGTTGGCTTCACGTTTCGAGTCGTGGGGTGGCTCCATAACTGAAGGCGTCGTGATTTTGAGCGCAACCAGTCTGCTCTTTGCAGGCGAGTCTACTGGAAAGAAGCCATCATTACCCAGTGCGGGTGCTTTGTAGACGACAGAGAATAGACCTTCACGGTGGTAGACGGCATTGTGATATTTCCCAATGGGCTTGCCGCCCGGAGTTGGGACATAGTCTTCATCCTGTCATAAGAGTTAGTGCATGTTGGGATGATTGTGATGTGCGATGCAACAACCTCTGGTGTGGGAAACTCAAGTGATGGCCGCGGAAGGCACATCACCTTGTCATTGCACTGCCGGTCATAGTCGTCCTGGAAAAGCATTAGAAATTCCACGTCAAGATGCAAAAGGTGTGGTTCCTACCAAGGAGTGCGCTGCATCATAAAAAGCTGCCTCGTCTCTAGTCGCTTCCTTACGGGCATCGGCTGCGGATAGCGATGGGTTGGACGATTGGTAGGCAGATGTTCTAGCACGGGATTAGCTACGGCGACAAGAAAAGATCGGACTTTGGCGTGTGGCAGGCAAGCAAAGGCATGCAATTTCTCAGCAAATAGCAGGAGAGGGAGTGCATCCAAGCATCGAGACATGGATCAGGGTCAGGCCCTGCCGAGCAATAGCTCAGGTGTCCCAGCAGGATTGCCTAGCGCGACAATGGAGACATTTTACCTGCATTTTAGTGACAGCCAACAAGCGCGTCGAAAAGCCGAGGCGCGATCGCCAGTCGGACGAAGCCATGTGTTGGGAAGGGATGTGAAGGGAGATGGGTATCACGCAGAAGCAGAAGGGAGATGGTGGTAGTATCAAGTAGTAGTAGTAGTGGTAGTAGTAGTAGTAGTGGTAGTAGTAGTAGTAGTGGTAGTAGCAGTGGTAGTAGTAGTGGTAGCAGTAGGAATTATAGGAGTAATAGTACAGTATTAGTAGTATTGGTGGCAGGCACGAGATGGGCCGAACAAGGGCATCAATGGTACCCAACTGTGTGCTGCTGGGACCCGCAGAGACAGAGCGGTGTAGACAGCGCAGCCTTGATTGCAAGTAAATGTCCAGCCATGGCGCCGCAAATGAGTGTCAGGACGAATACAAGGCGTCTCGTCTTGCGGCCTGCGGAAGGGCCGGCCGTGCTGGAGCTGGGGTGTGTGTGCATGTGTGCGCGTGGGTGAATGAATCGTTTCCAAGGTTACGTCAGAGCCCCGGCGCAACCGCGGCCTTGGGCGACTAGGCCCAAAGCGCAGAGTCCCAAGCCACCACGGCCAGCGCAGTCGTAGCCGCATCCGCTCTCACGACACTTTGACAAGCTGCGACGGCTTGGAGTACATGTAAACTCGGCTGCTCCGCTGCTTCCCGGCTGCGCGCCTGTGCCCCCTCCTCGACGCCATGGAGCTCCAACGCAAAGAATACCCAGCATTGCTGGTAAGAGCACTCCCCCCAAGGTCCGTCAGGCCCTCAGCATCCGCTCACTCGATCCCCAGACATCGCTCTCTCCCGCGCAAGCCGTGGCGGTACTCGACAGTCGCATCAAGCATGTAGGCCAATTGAACACGCACATTGCCGACTGGCTGCAGGTGGGTTGGCCCTCGGGTACCCGCACACCACTCACAACTCACCACAAGCCCAGGAACGCCGTCGCGTGGAAGAGCAGTATGTCCAAGGCCTGCGCAAGCTCGCAAACAGACACCCTCCCGACGAATCGTCAGACCTCGGGTACGCTTCCCTCTACAATCCGTACCTCTGCGCATGAATTGACCGCCAGGCAGCATCTTTGCGACCCCATGGGAGAAGATCGTCATCGCGACCGAGAATGTCGCCCACTCCCACGCCCACCTCGCCGCCAAGATCGAGGCTGACGTCGAGCGACCCCTCCGCGACTTCACCAGCACCAACCGCGAAATCCAGGCCATGGCCAACATCCAGGGCAACCTCGCCGCCATCGCCAAGGACATTGACTCGGCCCAGAAGAAGCAGGCTAAACTTCGTGATAAGGGATCAAAGGCCAAAGCGTCTGCCGTTGCCGACGCCGTGCAGGACATTGAAAAGGCCGAGTTGCAGTGGGACTCGCAGGCGCCCTACGTTTTCGAGCAGCTACAGGCCATTGACGAAACCCGGCTGAACCACCTCCGCGATGTTCTTACCCAGTTCCAGACGCACGAGGTGGACCAGGTCGAGCGCAGCAGGTCTTCGGCTGAGGAGACGCTGAACGCCATGCTCAATATTGAAACTGCAGACGAGATTCAAATGTGGGCGCTGAGGATGCGCAGTGGCGATGCCCGTCCCCCTTCGCGGAAACCGAGTAATACTCCAACGCCAGCAAGGAGCTTGGCACCACCTGCCTTGCCATCCTCCCCTACTGGAGCAGACGACAATAGGAGCCAGAAGAGCGCCTCAGCGCAGGACAAACAAAGCTCAAACCCTCTGAAGCGAATCGGTACAGTTCTGGGCCGACGGAGACAGAGCACGCACCCATACGGACGCGCGGCATCACCAGACCGGAAATCATCAGCAAACATTGGTTCGGCTTTTAGTGGCTTTGGCAAGGGGAAATCCAAAGACCGCGACAACCAGATCCCTACTTTGCCCCCAATGGCCGAACGTCCAACATCACCGTTAAGGAATTCTCAGCGACCCAGCACTTCCCAAGAATCGGACACTCCGAACCTCACCCAACAAACCAGTTCCGAACCCGCTCCCAACGGCACCGTTCCCAAGTCATCTGAGGCGGAGAAGGAAGCAGAAGCCCCTAATGCTGTCAATGGAACGTCATCTGTACAAGAGCCGATACCAGAGCTCAATGAGCCTGCACCAGCACCCGCCACCACGGAAACACATACAGAACCAGGGAAAGACGCCGAAGGTTACTCTGTACCACCATCCGCTCTTGACGCCATCACGGAGGCAGAAAGGGAGGCTGGATTGTAAGTACAACATACATCTGAGACCCTAACGGAGCTGACAAAGACTAGTGTGCAAAGCGAAGGAAACCCACCTCCTCAATTCAAGCTCGATATTAGAAACGCCCCAATCCAAGAAGAGGATGGCGATGCTGATGCGGCTACCGCGAACCTCGTCAACACGCTGCGTGCAGTAAGTATTTCCGGATGTCAAACCGATCAGCACTAACGTCAGTGCAGCAAGCCGCACAACCCAAGCGATCCAGCACACTGCGAGGGCGACGAGATGTCCGTAACACGATTTTTGTTCCTAGTCCGGCAACACCAGAACTTCAAAGCATAGGTGAAGTGCCGCCACTTTCAGGCGGTGATTCCGCCCCAGCTTCCGGGCCTACCTCTGCAACCTTTGCTCCTCCTCTTCCACCACAGCCTTCGTCTCCAGCATTCAAACCTCCGCATCGGTCGTTGTTGTCGGATGACCATGCCCACTCAGATACGCAGTCCATTCGATCGGGCCGATCGCTAAGTAGCTCCGCTAGCACCACGGTAAAGCATCCGGACCTGCATGAACCGGGGCTCAATGCGTCACTAGTGGAGACTGTCAGCGCTTGGTTTGAGCAGGGTAATGTCACCAAGGCAATGGTAATCGGGCAGGTTGCACTTGCATACAATCCTATTGATATTTCGGCTGGTCCCTTTGGCACAGAGAGTATACGACTAGATAACTTTTCTGTACTTGAAAAGGTAGCGCCCAACCCTGCCTTTATAGAGCAGGCACCAGATAACCCAGGCAACTACACTGTGGACTTGTCAAAGATTACAAAGACTTCCGTAGCCTTCCACTACCAACTCCACATCGAAGACAGCAATATTGCCTCTCTTCCTCCCATCATCCTCACCCCCATCTGGAAACCAGAACCCACGCAAATGTCCGTCCTCCTCAACTACTCGCTCAATCCCAAATTCGAGCTCGGCTCTGCAACAAGCATCACAGTCCGCAACCTCGTCCTTGTCATCCGCCTCGAGCCCGGCTCAAAAACCACGGCTTGTCAATCCAAACCCACAGGTACCTTCTCCCGCGAAAAAGCCCTCATCTACTGGCGCCTTGGCGACGTCACCCTCTCCAAAGACGCAGCCGCACAAGCCGTCCGCGCCCGCTTCTTCACCGACGGCCAGGCCAACCCGGGAAACACCGAGGCCCGCTGGGAAATCAGCGACGAGCAATGTCTGGCCATGGGCAGCGGTCTCAATGTCAGCATGAGTCAGAGCGTTTCGCCTAAGAAGGATGATGTCGAGGATGACCCGTTTGCGGATGCCGATGAGAGCGAGAATGTGCCGGCTAGTCCGGTTGTCGAGTGGAAACCTGTCACTGCGGTTAAGAAGATTATGAGTGGGACTTATTTGGGGGTTTGAAGAGGTGTAGTAGAGTGGAAGCGTGTAGAGGGGGGTGTAGAGAGGATAAGGAGTGGTTAATTGAAGTAATCAGTAGGGATAGAGATGAGTTGTTAGTTGAGATCAGGGAGTGAGAGAGATAGAGACAGTGTGTATATTGGTCTGTTGATAGAGCTTGATGGCTTGAGAGTCCTCTTTTGTTTTTTGTTCGTTTCATAGCGTAACGTTTTTATCCGGACTTTGAGAGAGAGAGAGAGAGAGAGAGAGGTCTTGTCATATCTTTTGTGTGCGTGTGTGTATTTTACACCCCCCTCCTCCCCCTCCTCTAACTCCTTTTGTCTTTCCGTTGTTTCTTTTGTTCGATTTCCTTTTTTTCCCCTCCCTTTCTACTTTCGATGTATATATATATATATATATTTTTCTCTAAACTGGAATTAAGATTAAGATTATTAAGATGTGTGGGGTTTAGAGTTTTACAGAGTTTCTTCTTCTGCTTGTGATCACGGATTGAGTACTTAGTTGAATCATGGGTTTTTATGGATACAGTTTTTTTGATTGGATTTTGTTACATGTCACTTTGCTATGGTTTAAAACTAGTTTATGTGCTCTTCCTTCAAGGCTACGCCAATTTTTCGGTTGAAATCGGAAAAAAGGGAGAGAAAAAAACAAGTGAGGGATTGGATTGGGATATCCCAGAGAAGCCAGAAATAAAGTTATTGGCAATACAGGGGTCAAAAAATTCTGTACCTACCGCATATCTAGGGACATTCACGTCACAATCAGCACATGTTTCTCCTTGTGCATTCAATGTTCCCGGTATTTCAGCATGTCGTCCTAGTGGCATATGGGCTCTGGTGAAAACAGGGATCCAGAATCTCTTTGCAGTAGGGGGTTCGGGCGTTGCATATAAACATCACTTACTACGCTGCTGTAGAAAAAAGACGATTGCATTAATACATAGATTCCAAAATATCCTATCGGAGGTTATGAGTATAACTTACATTTTGGAATGAAGAAGAAGCTCCGTATATCAGATGTCCGGACCTTTTTCCCTGGTCAAATAAAAACGCCTCTAACACCGTACGCTGTGATGGCTTGATCAGATCATCTGACGCTTCGTCTCAGACCGCGATCATTCGATACTCTTAGCGAGCGCCCACAAGCTGTCGAGCTTGGCGCGGCCAAGCGTCTCGCGAGCTTCACCAGCGGTTTCGCATACTCTTGAGCCCCATTTTCGGAAAGATCGCTCCTTGATCTCGCCCTCGAAGATGAGCGTACACTTGTTGGATGAGTGGTCCTTTACATCCCCAGTGTCGGTGAGCGGTCTCAGCCATTGCGGATCCGAGGCTTGCTTCTCCATCTGGTTCTCTGTAGGTGGACCATTCTCATGCCATTTGATGCGCTGGAGCATGAGTTTCTTGTACTTGTTGATTGCATATGCACCACCTTCGACTACAACCAGATTCAAATCAGGATTGAACAGTGTAATTCCGGTGAGGGCATGTTCCTTGGCGTTGCTGTCGATCTGGAAGCGGTGCTTGCCATATGCCAGAGTATTGATTTTGAAGACACACATGTATAGTCCCTTTTGCGCATCCTTCTCCTGGTTCGCAGCAAGCTTCGCTTGTCTTTCTTCTTTGGTCAACTTGCGCTCTTCATTTGCTGTAACATGGTCATCATGACGCTGCTGGATCTGCGATTCGACGAGCATCTCAACAGCTGTGGGATCTGCAATGGCTTGTTCTCCCATGACACGCATCATGTTACCGCGCTTGACCTTTGGTGGTGGTGGCGGTTCAAGACCGAGACGAATCTTAGCCTGATGTTCTTTGAGGTCTGCAGCACGTCGCATCCTGCGTAGCTTCTGTGTTTCTTTAGTGGTAAGATACATGGGCTTAACCTGGACCAGGCGCTGATCTTGGGGCGCTTTGAGTAGTGGTGGATGCTGGACATATAGTGTTATGATGGAATCATCAGTGTCAACCTTGACTTTGGACGGGTCGTCGATGCAATCGTAGTTGGGCTCGGCTAGGATACCCTCGTCCCACCATTCGATATCCGGAGGGGACTGGACCAGGAAGCCGCGTTCACTGTTTTCATCAAGACCAGCGCGGCGGGCTTGAATAGCGAGTGTCTTTTTAATCTCCTCGAGTCGTCGTTGTGCGCGCAGCTTCGAGGCCTGGTCGAGGTACTTTCCATGTTCGTTGAACGAGAGGACACGGGGGCCCCTCTTCTTGGCAAGAGCAGCAGTCTTGGGGTCAAAGTACGGGTTTTCTAGCTCTTCATCTTGCGGTTGTTTTTGGCTCATCACCGCGGCCTTGGGTTTCGCATCAACCAGGGGCGTTTCCGAGCGACGGTTGCCCAGGGTTGTCGCAAAGCGTGGGCCCGTGGAATCGGGAGCGGGGGTTTTGGCTGCTGAGCCCGCCTTCAGCGCCTCCATCCTCGCCTTCATGGCTGCTAGTTTGTCTTGAACCGCATCACTTGCCCCAGCCGCCGGCGGTAGGGGGGTTGAAGAGGCAGCGGGTTTCGCGAATCGGGCTGCAATTTCGGCGGCCTTTGCTTTGGCTCTGGCTTTTGCAGCTTCGACAGCATCTGATGGTTTCGGGCGCTTCACATCGCTATTCGGGCCCTGACCCTCGGGATAGGGGCGCTTCTCGGCCATGGTCATGGTGGGTAGTCGTGTGTGTATGTGTGGATGCGGAGTTTCGGGGGAGAGATTCTGTCTGGGAGGCGCAAGGCAGTCGCTGAGTCACTCGTCGGCCCGCTCGAAGCCAGTGAATTGGCCTGCTGGATTGGCGCGAAGAAGCACAAAGGGGTGCCTCGAGATGAGCGTTGAGAGGTAATAGTGATGGAAATGGTAGAAGCCAGTGGCTGCGGAGTGACGCGAAATGCACGCTGCGGCCTGGCTAGGTGTCTTGGCGTGCATGACCGCTAAACCCTGGGCGAACTTTTCTGGTCCCGAAAAAACTCCCCGCAAGTTTCGCGCTGCTGCGAACATCACCACCACCGCCTTTGCGCGCGCATTGCTTCGAGTACAGGCGCTGCGGGCACTGAGGCGACGCCATGAATACCCACCAGCCAACTTCCTCGGCCATTAATGGCATCGAGTTTGGCTTTCTTACTACAAAAGACATCAAGTCGCTCTCGGTGAAGCGCATCACGAACCCAACCACATTCGATTCGCTGCTTCACCCAGTGCCAGGTGGTCTGCACGATGCAGCACTCGGTGCTTTCCTCGACAATCCGTGAGCTTCATCCGGCCACTCAAGACCCCATTGTCTATGCTGACAGTCTCCAAGATGCGGAACATGCGGTCTCACAAACTTCCTGGGCTGCCCTGGCCACTGCGGCCACATCGAACTCCCAGTACCTGTATACCACCTCACATTCATTGACCAGCTGCTGCGACTGCTCCGAGGCAAGTGCGCATACTGCCATCAGCTCAAGTTCCCCCGTGTGCAGGTCAACGAGTTCGTCTCCAAGCTGCGCTTGATAAGATGCGGATTGGTGCAAGAGGCAAACGACATGCACGAGCACATCAATCTTGAAAAGGGCAAGACAAGCAAACGGGCCGCCGACGATTCCGAAGATGAAGACAACGACCAAGATGACATCATCTCACAGCGAAACAGCTATGTGAAGAAGTGCATGAAGCGAGCGGGCATTTCAAAGCATGATGCCAGGTCGGTGCGCGAAAAGAATGAAGCCATTTCCGATGCGCGCCGACAGGTAGTCAAGGAATTCTACGCAGAGCTTGTCAAGCGCAGGACCTGTGGCAACTGCCAGGGCATCAGTCCTACGTACCGTAAAGACCGGGGCATCAAAATTTTCCGAAAGGCGCTTAGCCAGAAAGACAAGACCAAGATGGCCCAGGCGGAGAAGCGCATCCAAAATCCCCTCGATATTCTGGCCCGGCGAGACGCGAAGGCAAAGAAGCAACACGTACATGCGGACGAGGGTGTGGCGGACCTAGACCCCGCCTCTGAAGAAGATGAGGACATCGATATGGAGGACTTGCAACAAGCCGATGGCTCGCTCGTCGCCACCGAGGCACGCATGGCCAGGAAAGCGAAGACGGATGAGACCTTGGAAGCCGCACAAGAGTACGTTAACTCGAGTGAAGTCAAGGCAGCCATGACTCTGCTCTTCGAGAACGAGTCGGAGATGATGCGGTTGCTCTACAGCCCATACGGATCAAAGTCTCTGGTGGATGTGAGCGCCGACATGTTCTTCACTCAAGCCATCATTGTCCCTCCCAACAAGTTCAGACCTGAAGACAAGACGGGCGACTCCATTGCTGAGTCGTCTAAGAATAAGCTCTACAAGGGCATCCTGGAGGCTTGCGAAAGCATTCGTCAGATCAGCCAGGAGATGCAAGGCAAGCCCAATGAGCTAGGTTTCAGACAACGAAACTTTGACGACATGCAGACTCAATTCGTGAACCTACAGGGCGCTGTGAACGCCCTCATTGATCGCGACGCCAACCCCGTACAAGGCCGTGGTGCGGTTACCAACGCCGATGGTATCAAACAAGGTCTCGAGAAGAAGGAGGGTCTTTTCCGGAAGAACATGATGGGCAAGCGTGTCAACTTTGCTGCACGAAGTGTCATTTCACCCGACCCGAATATCGAAACCAACGAGATTGGTGTCCCTCCAGTATTCGCCGTTAAGCTTACTTATCCTGAGCCTGTCACCAACCACAACTTTTACGACCTCAAGGAAGCAGTACTCAATGGCCCAGACAAGTGGCCTGGAGCGCACGCCATTGAGAACGAATTCGGACAAATCATCTCGCTGAAGAAGAAGAATTACGAAGAGCGATTAGCCTTGGCCAACCAGCTACTCGCCCCATCCAATTCCTACTCCAACGGTGCCAAGAACAAGAAAGTGCATCGCCATCTCAACAATGGCGATGTGGTGATTATGAATCGACAACCGACACTGCACAAGCCCTCTATGATGGCGCACAGAGCACGTGTGTTGCCAGGAGAGAAGACGATTCGTATGCACTACGCCAACTGTAACACATACAACGCCGACTTTGACGGTGACGAGATGAACATGCATTTCCCCCAGAATGAGCTTGCTCGCGCGGAGGCCATGACTATCGCAGATACTGATCACCAGTATCTGTCTGCAACCGCTGGAAAACCCCTACGAGGTTTGATTCAAGATCATATTTCCATGGGAGTTTGGCTGTCCAACAAAGACACCTTCTTTACGAGAGACCAGTACCACCAGCTACTCTACTCTTGCTTGCGGCCAGAGGATGGCCACACGACCTCGGGCAGGCTTGAGACTGTTGTGCCAGCTATCCTGAAGCCTCAACCAATGTGGACAGGTAAACAGATCATCACAACCGTCTTGAAGAACATCAAGCCAGCAGAATACCAGGATCTTACACTTTCGTCCAAGTCATCCACAAACGGCAAACTGTGGGGCGCACACTCCGAAGAGCAGTTTGTCATAGTCAAGGATGGCGCGCTTTTGACTGGCATCATGGACAAGGGTCAGATTGGACCTGCTGCTGGCGGTCTGATCAACGGTATCTACGAGGCATATGGTGAGACCATCGCTGGAAGGGCTTTGAGTATCATTGGACGGTTACTTACCAAGATGCTACACATGCGTGCATTCTCTTGCGGTGTTGAGGATCTTATCCTTACCGGACAAGGAGAGGAGGCAAGATTGGTAGAGCTCCGCAAAGCAGAAAATATCGGATTCGAAGTAGCGTCCAAGTATGTTACTTTGAACGCCGAAAAGATCGACCCTACCAATCCAGAGCTACGGCGACGACTTGAAGCAGTTTTGCGAGATGATACGAAGCAACACGGTCTCGATCTTCTCACGAACACTGCAAACAGCAAGATCTCTTCGGCGGTCACTGCGGCCGTCCTTCCTGACAAGCTCATCAAGGCGTTCCCCAAGAATCAAATGCAAGCCATGACAGGTTCTGGTGCCAAGGGTAGCATGGTCAACGCAAACCAGATTTCTTGCAATCTTGGACAGCAAGTTCTTGAAGGCCGAAGAGTTCCCGTCATGATCAGTGGTAAAACGCTGCCGTGCTTCAAGCCTTTTGAAACCAGCGTCCGTGCTGGTGGTTACATTGTCAACCGTTTCTTGACTGGTGTCCGACCACAGGAGTACTATTTCCATATGATGGCTGGTCGAGAAGGTCTTATTGATACCGCTGTCAAGACTTCGCGTTCCGGTTACCTGCAACGATGTATCATCAAGGGTATGGAAGGTCTTCGCGTTGAATACGACACCTCGGTCCGTGATTCAGATGGCTCTATGGTCCAGTTCCTCTACGGAGAGGATGGACTTGATACGACCAAGCAGAAATATCTCAACGACTTCAAGTTCCAGGCTCAGAACTTCTACTCTTTGGCTCAAGCCCTTCACACTGCAGAGGCCTACCCTCGTGTCTCCAGTGCTGAGGCTGCTGAGCATAACAAGAAGGCTGCGAAGAAGGCGAGGAAGGGCGATACTGCATCCATGGACCCTGCCACTGCAGTTTATACGCCCTCGCGGCACAGTGGTAGTACTTCGGAAACATTTTTGCAAGCCAAGCGCGAGTACTGCGATAAAAATCCCGACAAGCTGCTCAAGAACAAGAAGAAGGATGAAGAAGGCGAGATTCTTAAGCGCACATTTGAGCAGATGCTCGACCTCAAATACCTGCGATCGCTGGTTGAGCCTGGTGAGGCTGTTGGTGTTGTGGCTGGTCAGTCGATTGGTGAGCCTTCAACACAGATGACACTGAACACTTTCCATTTGGCTGGCCACTCTGCAAAGAACGTCACTCTTGGTATCCCTCGTCTACGAGAAATCGTGATGACGGCTAGTGCAAACATCTCCACACCTTCGATGCAACTATATCCCCACCCCGAGCTGTCAAAAGAGGATTGCGAAAAGTTTGCAAAGAGCATCACGCGTCTACCACTTTCTGCTGTGCTTGACAAGGTCACCGTAACAGAGACGCTCGGCGCGGGTACTCAGTTCAGTCAGGCGAGAACCTACAAGATTCGTTTAGACTTCTACCCTGCAAAGGAGTATACCAAGGAGTATGCTATCAAGGTCCGTGACGTTGCCGAATCGATTGAGCAGAAGTTCTGCCCTCGACTACAGAAGATGATTCGCGCCGATCTGAAGAAGAAGGCCGCAAACAAGTCACTCTCTACAGCAAGCTCAGCTAGTATTCCCACAATTGGCGAGAAGACTGGTAGGAGTGATGAAGCGACAGTTGAGGAGTCCGAAGAAACTCTTCAGGCTGATCGGGAAGGTGGTGCTGAAGACGAAGACAGTGATGATGGCGAAGGCGACAATGACAACACCCATGCCAAGGATCGGGGCAGGCGTGAGGACAGTGTAGCCTATGAGGAGCCAGAGGAGGAAGAACAAGCTGCCAATGCTAGATTGGACCGAGAGGATGAAATCAGCGAGGACGACGAGACATATGGCGGCAGCCCCAAGCCATCACGCGCCGTTACCCCCGATGCCGAGTCAGACGATGAGGATGAAGAGATGATTGTTCCTACCGACGAGGCCTCGGACGTTCGCCGTGACCGCATTTGCACCAAGAATGCTGACATCTTTGAATTCACTTTCGACGACCGCAAGGGCGCTTTCTGCGAGATTAGTTTTGAGTTCTCAGCTTCCACGGCG